GACTCCACTGCCTTAATTCCCATCGTTCTGAGCTTGAATGACTTCTTGCACAAAATACACTGAGCCTGTTTGTTCCCTGGTTCCCTGGTTTTCCAGACAAAAAGTTAATGGTGCATCTCCCAAATGTCCCGGCCGCAACAACGCTTTATTGGTTCCGCTATCGGGACGGAACTAATGATGGTGAGCCGTTTTTTTTATGAAAAAAAAAAAAATTTTTCAATTTTAATGTTTTATTTAGATTACAAAAATAAATCGTAATAAAAATAATCCTATGTATGATGTTTTTAATACCAATTAAGGCCTTAGTTTTATTTTGAAGAATTCAATGCCTTTTAAGACTTTTTAAGGACCCGCAGGAACCCTGTTTTAATCTGATTAGGACCGGGGTCAGCAACCCAAACTGCTCAAAGAGCCATATTGGACCAAAAAAAGAAAACAAATTATCTGTCTGGAGCCGCAAAAATGTAAAAGTTTTATATCAGCCTCATATAGCAACACGGGCTCTAAGTGTTTTATCCCACTATAAAAAAGACATTCACGATTAAATGTTTATCCGGAAGCAAATGTCACATAGCAGCCTGAGGTGACGGAGGAACAGTGAACGCTCCCATCGCGCACCGCTTCACCGAGCGCCGCTTCACCACCTTCACTGCGCGGTTTAAGTTTTCTTGCAATGATGAAATTATAGAAACACAATAAAGGAATCTTTCTATGGTGGACGTGTTTCTGTTGGGAGGAGTTTATTGAGTCATGAGGAACCAAGCAGGAAGTGACATCATCAGAGCAGAGCTCTCTAACCCCGAAATCCCACATCCTCCGTCACCATCGTTCCTTGGTCTGATTAATATTTTTAGGATTTGGGAAATAAAATGGAAGATAGTTCCCATCCCAACTAGCAGCAGTAGTTTGGAGATTTAATCTACTTCTTAAATCTATCTTTGCTCTCCTCTAATTTATCCTGCAATCGCACTTTTTCTCTCCCTCCCAGCTTGCTGGTGGGCTGCAGATTTAGCCTTCCCTGGAAATGCCTTTCCAAATTTTTTTTTTTTTTTTGACACCCTCTCATTACAAAGCAAAAATGCAGGCAATGAGTCGGCCTATTTGAATCCTCTTTTCTCATCAGCAATCTTCCTTTTTTTCCCTTTGGGATTCATATTCTGAGACACGCCTGCAGCCTTGTTAGCCTGGCACCGCGCCGTGTCACACTGGTTCCAAGTTATGATCACTGATCTCTATGTTTTTGATCCACTTTTTGAAATTTATTTATAATACAAATGTTTAAAGCATTGGAAAAGATTAATTTTTGTTTGCAACCTGCACAGCATATTAAAACAAAAAAAAATTGTTCATAAATTTTAGAAAAAGTTCCAGGGAGCCACTAGGGGGAGCTAAAGAGCCGCAGGTTGCCGACCCCTGGATTAGGACAGTTCCTCTCTCTGGATAAACAGTTATAATCTTCATTTTGTTCGTGGCAAATATTTGGAAATGGAACGAGAGCGGCGTCCTGCAGCTAAGAACGAAGTGTAATATTTTGATAAGGCTGGAGCCATGGATGTCTAATCATCTGCTAACATCTATGATGTAATGATGGTGCAGACTGGAGATGTATAAAATGCCTTTTTAACTGTTAATCGGAGCCACTTCCTGTGAGGTGAGCAGCTGCCTTCTGTAACTCGGAGCTATTTCTCTGATCTGAGTAAGATTATAATTTCTATCAGAATCTGTTGTCGTTTCTCCTGGTTATTTAATACATATAAGTTATGAAGTATTATTTAAAGAGTTTTACCCGAGTCATCTCTTTTCAGGGAAAAGAACCGGAAAGATAGAGCATCAAGAAGCACAAACAGAGCCTTTAACAAACACCTAAATCATCATAAAATGTTGAATATTTTCACACTATTTGCTAAATTTATGAGCTGCAACCAGCTGCATCACTCTGAGCTGCAATGGTGTCTCCTCATCCCCTCCAGAGGAGGAACAAAGGGTCAGGCATACAGTAGCATCCATTCAAAATGGACCAGTCAAACGTTACACTTCCTTCCAACTCCCAGCAGAATCCCCTCCAACTTCCAGCCTCTTGCATCATTTTTCACACTGGCTCCATCTTTTCACTGAATTACAGCGTCTGACCAGGAGATGGCGCTTCTCTTTAGATCTTAATGTCCACAAATCATGACAGAAACAATAGTTTAGCACAAAGACTGATGTTTAAAAAGGAATTGAAGGGGAGCAGCCAAGGACCCAACAAGGAAAGTTGGGTAATTTTGAATGGCTGCTACCTTATAACTAAACAAGAATCTATTTGTTATGAATAAAAAAACAACCAATAAAATATCTCCAATGTACAGAACGTAGAGCTATCATTAATAGATAGGGTACGTTTCTCCAACACACTGTCATATAGAAGCAAATTGTTACCATATTTCTAATTAAAAGGCATTTTCAGAAATGCTTTTTCATTTTAAGGATGTGGCTGCATTACTTGACTCATAAATGAAATTAGTAATCAATCCTCCTATTTGCATTTTCTTCTTTAAGACTGCACATTTTAAGCCATAATCAAAGAGAAAACACGGCGGACATTGCTTTTTCGTTCTCATGGTCTGCCTGCAAAGTACTGTACTGCAAAAGCATTTCTGAAAATGCTTTTTTAATTTAAATATGGTAACGATTTGCTTCCATACTGTCAGACTATTTGTTACTTGGTATCAATGATGCTAGCTGTGATTTAGCTCTGTGTTTTTAGTGTAATCCAGCGTTCAGTGCTAGCAGCGCTTTTAAACAGGCGGTTCTGGTTCTGGTTGCTCTAAGAGGAATGTTAGAACTCGGCTACATGAAGGTCATGACCCCATAATGACCCATAGAGGCATCGTGCTAAAACTACTGAGGTGTCAAGCTAATCATCAAATGATTTTTTAAGTCTTTTGCAGAATATTTTAAGTCTATATTAAAACAGACTCCGCTCAGTTTGTCCTCGTGTCCAGAATCGTAAGATTTATTGAACCTCAACAGCTGAGCTTCTAGTATTTGCTTATTTTAATAACCAAGGTGTGATCTAGAGGGAAAATATGATTACATCAACAGCTAACAGAAAACCCCTCCAAACCTTACCTAATTCATCCCCAGAGGAGAAGATGGCGGAGCCCAGGCGAGAGTTATAGTGGGAGTTGGCGAAGGCGGTGAAGTTGTTCTGCAAGCGGCGGTGTCGGACGTAGAGCGCCACCAAGCCGCCGCCTACCACCACCAACAGCAGGAAGAGGACGGGAACCACCACTGACGCCATATCCCTGGAGCGGCTCTCAGCGCGGGACGCATCGCTGCTGCCTGAGCGGGTGGACAGAGAAGAGGAACAGGAGGAAGTTTGTCTCCTAAAGACGGAATGGCGTGGGTTAACCTGCCTGGGTTAACCTGCGGGGGTTAACCTGCGGGGGTTAACCTGCGGGGGTTAACCTGCGGGGGTTAACCTGTGGGGGTTAACCTGTGGGGGTTAACCTGCGTGGGTTAACCAGGACCTACCTGTCTGAGGGTTATAAAGCAGGAGAGCGGGCTCCCCACACAGCTGGCCCCCCAGCAGGCAGCTGGCCTGCACTGAGAAGGTGTAGTTGTGTCCCGCCAGCAGGCTGTTGATGCGGAAGTAGGTCTCTGTGGTGTTTCCCAGGTACGACGTCTGGTTGGTCTCGCTGTCAGACATCCGCACTTCATATCCCTGCGAACAGCCGGGATGGAGGGAAAGGAACAGCGGAGAAAGGAAACACTCAGACCATCTACTTCTACAGACTCCAGTGTTCCACATCAGGGTTCCACAGAACATTTCCTGAAACGTTCTGTGGAAACGAGCATCTTCTTTAGATCAGCAGAGGCTCTGGTGATTCAACTCTACAACGACTGAATTAAATCTAAATAGGGTTGTCAAAAGTATCGATACTGAAATGTTGTATCCGGATACAATACTCGTTTTTAAAAGTATCGATACAGTGCCACCACTAGTGGCACCTAAGCAGTCATTCATCTAAAGTGCAGAATAGAGGAAAATGCACTTTCAGAACACTGTGTGATTGAATAATTCTACGCACTTTTCAGTTTCAGACTTTTTTCTGTAACAGGTGCAGCTGCTGAGAATTATTTTTGTTTCTTAACTGGTTTGGCTAGTGTCATTGCTATGTGTGCAAAGCATAGCCAAGGAAGGAACACTTCATTTTAATTTTTTACGTTTTTTACCAAGCTTGCTTAATATTGTGCACAGCATATAACCTTAAAATATTGTTGTTATTGTTTATTGTATTTATTTATTAATGAAAATATTTCTGTAGAATTTTGGAGTCTTTGTTTTTATTCTTGTGGTATCGAAAATGGTATCAAGTATCGAATATTTTCCTTAGTATCGGTATCGAGTTGAAAAGTTTAGTATTGTGACAACCCTAAATCTTAATATGTCATTTTTTTCATAAAATAAGGGATTTTTTTCTTGAATTGAAGAGGTAAGTGAGACACTTTGCCGATGGAACAAGACAATTTACATTTAAAATGAGAAAAAATATTAGAATTTTCTTCTTAAAGTGCATATTATCGTATTTTAAGAGTAAAAATACTCATTCCATTGGTAATTGACCTACTCAAATTAAGGGTAAATACACTTGATTCAAGATTTTTTTTTTATTATTTGTAGATTGTTTTTGCAGTGTATATAATAATATTTAAATCTAAAGAAGACATTTTTTCTTTAAATAAGGGCATATTTTCTTGAATTGAGGAGGGAATTGAAAACAAGAGAATTTACATTTAAAATAAGAAAAAACTATTGCAGTATTTCAAAAGCATGTAATTTAATTATCTTATTTTAAGAGTAAAAACTAAAGTTGTTGGTTCTCACCCTGCTCTCGTTGAAGCCCTTCTCCCGGACGGCCAGGCTCTTCCAGAACAGGAAGACGTGGTCGTTTTCTGTCAGAATCTTCAAGGCTTCAGGAGCAGAAAGAGGAACTGAAAACGAGAGGAAAGTATTTTAGGGCTGCAGTGAAGGATTTTATTGAATGAATCAGATTATAATCAGACAGGAAAATGTGCAGAATTAGAACCAGTTGAAGTAAAAAGCCTCTGATGAGCTCTGGATGGACACATTAATGGCATAAGATATAACATTTAAATGTAGATTAAAAAAGGAATTAAATGTAGATGCGTTTTTACAGATTTACAGTTTAATATCTGCTCCGAGCGACTGGCATCACCTGCACTGCAAAAAACGTAAATCTAAGTAAGTCATTTTTTTCTTAAAATAAAAGCATTTAGTCTTGAATTGAAGGAGGTTAGTGAGAAATGTTGGCAATGGAACAAAACAATTTAAATTTAAAATAAGAAAAAAAACTATTGCATTGTCTTATTTCAAGTAGGGGTGGGAGAATATATCGAATAAACTTCATGTATCTCGAGTTTCCCCAGCGAACGATAGTTACAATTTGCATGAAATCTTGAAATCAGGGATGCCTGCTTTACCCACAGCTGATGTTTGTTTATAAAAAATGGCCAAAACACAGTCACATGGTGTTTTGTCCTTTAAAATCAGGCTTTAAAATCTCTAAAACATGTTTCAAAATGAGTTTTTCACAAATAAATATGGTTTCATAGTTGTGTAAACTAATAAAATGAGATTTAAAATTCCACCTGAAATGTGTGACTCTGCGGGAGTAATGTAACAGCAGGTATTACATTTTTTAGCCCCGCCCCCTAATGGGGGGCGGGGCCCATTTGCTTGAGTTATAGTCCAGATGTGGATCTATAAAGTCTGAGGGTTCATCCAGAGTTTCAAATGGTTCGTGGTGTTTTGCAGAGTTTATTTTAGGAAACATTTTGGCGAGGCTAAATATTTTTTATTTTTTTCTTAGTCGTCTGCATCCATTTCACTGAGTTTTATTTTTCCCGCACACTTTGAACGCATCATAAACCCCTCCTCTAAACTAGATTATTTTCTAGCAAACTACAGCAACCGGCAAACTAAAGATGGTGACAGCAAGTGTTTCAGCTGAGCGATAAACGGCAGCGGTTTGGATTTCCCGCCGAGGACGTCGAACAAAAGGCGCTAATTTGTAAGACGTGCTGCAGAACCATTGCTGCAAAAGGAAGCAGTACAGATTTATTGCAGCACCTAAAAAGTCATCGGCTGCAGAATGAAGAATGTTATAAACTCTGCATGTCAGCGTCTCTCTGCTCACCAATTAAAACATTCAATCAATCAGGTGTGAAGCCGATGGCGTTGGCCTCGAGTTTGAAAAATCGATCCCATATGAGAGAAACAGGAAGAGATGGAGGGAAATCACAGACGATATTAATGATTTTATTTAAATATTTTTTTAGATGCTCTAATATCTGTGATGTGATGGTCAGAGGTTTTGCAGGTGTTTTCTTAACTTGGCAATGTTCTCAAATTCATAACTTTTTGTGTTTCTCTAAACTTCCCAGCCGGTAAAGGTCAATGCTAATAGATGCTCTGATAATGCTCTAATTTCTGGACAGTATTTCCACTTTTATTTTGAAATGTTATTTTTTTATTATGCACAAAAGAGCCTTTTTTATTTTGGTTCATTTAGTATTGTGTGTTTTTGCTTTGTTTCCTGTTTGGTTGCTGGGATCTTGTTAACGGTTTAACCTCTTAAAATCCACCTCATTTTGGGTAAATCCTCGCCTATTCTGCAAACCCAAATGGAAAAGCAAATAACTTTAACATGTGCAATACATTATTTGAAAGCTAACACCCTCTAGTTTCTTAATATATAAATTACAATTGGCTGAATTGGTGACTAGAACAGACCAACCTGCATCAGTTCAAACCTGAATCAAAGTTGTTTTTTATTCTCGGAAATGAAAGGTTAGAAATGATGGGTCTTAAAACCCAACGGCGACCCGGTGGGTTTTAAGAGGTTCATTCTGACACCCAAAGACAACATGTGGCAGAGAAGCTTTGATCTGGTTAAAGGTAAATAAAATTAAATTAAATTTGAAACCAAAAGTTTGAATGTTTTTATCAGTGCAATGTTATGCTCTCTATTGATTTTGAAGGTATATTGTGATCACAAATATATCATGGTATTAGATTTTCTTCATATCTCCAAATATGAATCAACTAAATTAGTTGATTCATATTTTAATCATGGATTAAAATGATGTTACGGTTAAATTGGACGATCCATTAACTATATCTGAGTCTATTCTGATCTCAGCCCACATCTTGTTCAGCGTCAATCGATTTCCTTCCAGCTTTTCTCCCCACATCGATCTGCAGGGATGTTTAAAACATTATTTTTCCTCCATTCTGACAGGAAACAACATCTGTTCTTATGTTTACATTTTTAGCCTTAAATCAGCTTCTGGTTTATTTTAATCTAAACTTTGTTCACTTTTCTGGGCTTTTCAGTTTGTTTCCTTACTCCTAGTGTGTGTGTGTGTGTGTACTTGTCTAGCCCTCAGAGTGAGGACCATTTTTCCAATTTCCTCACAAGCTATTCTGTTAATTGTTAGGTTTAGGACTAAGGTGTGAATTAGGTTAGGATGAGGTATGAATTGGTAATGGTTAGGTTTCGGGTTCGAGCATAGAAAGGGTTGAAAATGACTGAAAAGCACATGGTCCTCACTACATATAGCAGAGCAGTGTGGTGTGTGTGTGTGTGTTGCAGACCTGTGTTCAGGTTGAAGCTGGCCTCCTTGGTCATGTTGCGCAGGCGGACGGAGACGCTGTACCTCCCCCCGGGCTCCAGCCCTTTCAGCAGGTACTCCACCGTGTTGTTCCTGGAGGTCAGCTTATAGTCCCGCTCCGCCTTACGGATCACGTCCTTCACGTGGATCACATACGTCTGGGAGAACGGAAGGAACACAGACCGTGACGTCACAGCAGGCAGGTCGTTAACATTAAACCTGGGACGGCGATCCTCCCACAGAAGGAGCTGAGCGTCTGCGTACCAGAGGAGCGTCCGGCGTGTCGTAGGGCGGCTGCCACTTCAGCGTGGCCTGCGTCTTGTCCACGCGCACGCGGTGCAGGTTGCGGGGCGGGAGCCGCTCGTCGGGAATCATTTTGACCACGGCGTATTCAGAGGGAGGACCCAGGAAAGGAGAGACGACCCGAGCCTTGGGGAAGACGGCAGAGGTCAGCGATTTAGGATTAAAACATTCTGCTGGTTGCTGGGATCTGAGAAAGAACCGGATCTGTCTGGTCCTCATCTGGACTGGGAGACTGACGGTATCCCATAATCCCCTGCTCTGTCTCCACCATCTGTAGAACTATGGCTTCTAATAAATCATAACTAAGACAGAATATTTCCATTTACATTAAATCTTCATTAGAACAAAGATTTTATATTAAATATTTGTGAGTAAGATCTAATTATTAATGTATACCTAAACTGATTTTAATCTAAGTTTAAACTAAAATCCTTTATCATTTTTTCTTTAATGATTTTTTGGAAACACAGGAAGGAGCAATCAGCTAAGTGAGCTTAGTGCTTGGAAAAAATCTTTCATTCCTTTAGAGACAGCATGAAAAGTCAGCTGAGTACAAAACATAGAGAGGAAAACAAGAAGAAAAGGGACAAGAAGAGAGGGACACAACCTAGAACAGATAATGGATGTCTATTCTATTAACATTTCTCTATCTGGAGAATGGGGCTGTTTATGTGTTGTCTTCTCCGTTCAGAGGCCCCCTGCCTGTCTTAGCTGAGGGCCCCACATTTCCTAAATAAGCCCCCATGTCTAGTAGCTCCCATTGATTTTTCTTGTTTTTTTTTTATTATTATTATTCTTTATTTCGAACATGCAAGAGAAAAAAAAAAAAAAAAAACAATAAAACAATGTTTAAAAACATTGGAGAGAAAAACAACAAACAAGGTACCCTTCTTTCCTGAGTTAATTTACCTCTATTACATGTGCGAAAAGGAGCAGGAAGAAGTAAAACTTATGTACTCCTACCCCATTAAATCTTGTATTTCTTCAATTTACAATATTTATAATTATGCTGCTATATATATCCATATAAATACATACCTACCTACACATATACACATATACCTTCAAACATATATATAAACTTTCTACAATGCTTCTCTATACCTTTTGAAAATAATTTCTTTGTACATTTTTTTTAAAAGGAATATGTTTGGGAATTGCTTTAGTTTCTCATTTAGTTTGTTCCACAATTTAACTCTGCAAATTTAAAAAAACATAATATTTTTCTTGTTGTTCTACATCTATTAGTCTTAAAATTTTCCGCTTCCCCTTAAATCGTACCCTCCCTCCCTTTTGTATATTCCCCGGCAATAGGCTATGTCTTACTTTGAACATGAATACTGCAATTTGGTATTCTATTAAATCATGGTATTTTAGCAATTTAAGATTTTAGAAATAATGTGTTTGTATGATCCCGAAGTCTGGGATCCTGAAGTTGGAAAGCGGGGAGAATGGCGCTAGGCTTACCGCACCGTGACGTCACTGCTGGAAGATGGCAGGAGGGAGGGGCTACTATATTTGGGCAAAAATGGCCGCTCCCAGACTCAGTGATCGCAACAAAAATGATTGTTTTTATTTTTCACTGATTAACACTAAATTCATTAAATCACTGCGAACGTGTTAGTTATTATCCATTGGTTATTCCTTGCTGACCGGACTTCTCCTTTAATAACCTGCTTTGCTAGTGTGGGTGGAGCTATCAGAGGATTCTACCGTTACGTCCTCCTAGTAAATATATTCTTGGTCATTTTTGATGGATTTATGCCGACAGCTCTGCAGGAGCAGAGATCCCCGTTTATATGCAGGAACCGTCTCCATGGCAGCTCCCTGCTCATCCTCCGATTGGCCGCCATGCCATGTCGACATTTTTCTCAAGGCTCAGATGATTTGGACGCATTTGATGAACATCCGGGCCGATGCTGAAAAGGCGTTCAGCTGGAACGCAGCATTAGAGTTTGCAGACGGACTCACCAGGAAGAGAAACTGCTCATCGCTGTCCACCGTCACCGTGAGGCTGGGGGACGTGCTTCGGACCTGATGGGGACTGCGATACAGATCCAGGAAGGAGGTGGCATAAAAAACACCGTACACCTGCACACATGGTGGGAAAAAAACAGTTTTACTCAGAAAGACCTTCAGCTTTATTCAGCTGCTTCCACTGATGCCGTCTAATAAACACACATTTAAAAATTGTTCTTCTAAGATAAATATTTCTCATAGTGATGTTTTAAAAAGGCAGAGATGAGATTAATGTAGCTCTGATCTCGAATTAAGCCTGAATTAAATGTTTTCAGCCTAATCAGATGATGAAGGGCAAACTCTTCCTCATCCTCTCAGACTGAAACAGGTCAGATTATCCGTCTCCAATGGATAAAAGGTCTTCTTCATGATGGTGGTGGCAGTTTATGGGTCTCTACTGATAATTAAAGGTACAGACGCTCCTCTGCAGCCACCAAGCAGGACCTATTGTTACCATGGAGACGCCAGGATCTGCTGAAGTGGCCCTTAATGGCGGGGAACAGAGGGGGGCCGAGCACACAGCCCTGGGGTGGGAGTTATGGACTGACCTCTGCTCCATTAGTTACAAAGAACAGGTTTTGTTAAAAATAAAATTTGAAAATCTTCTGCACTTTTTAAAGAAACATTTTCTGAGATTTTATTTTTCACTGTAGTCGCTGCTACGACAGACAGAGGTTAGCAAAGCTGTGCTAACCACAGCGATGGCCGGTATGGCTACCAGATCTGATCGGGTCCTGCTTCATGCTAGTGGCGTTACGCTACATGACTGGCTGAATGTTGCCACATGATGTAAAACATGGTGGTTGCCCAGACGACAATAATAACGTCACGCAGCGTCAGTGTGGCGAGTCGGGAGCTTCTGTAGCGTTAGTGTGTCTAATGACCGATAAGGTTTTACGTGATTGAAAACAAAACTGAAAAAATCTGTTTCTGGTGAACAAAGTAACTGTTAGACCAGGATTTGAAGAGCTGGGTAGCGCTGTGGCTAGCTGTGCTCAGTAGCTAACAGGTTAGCCTCTTTTAGCATGGTCAGTTAGCCATATTAGGCTACACTACTTTTGAATTCATGTCAACAAAAAACGTTCATTTTCTCCAAGTAGAATAACTGTTTTATTTGTCTAAAATCTGTATGAAAGTTATTTTTAAGATGTTCCATTTTGTCCTCTCCTTCCCTCAGTTCTTAAACAGAATAAAAATAAGCTGAGACTTTTTTTGTCACCTTTTTAATGTCGTAGGGAAACGGCTGTTCCAACCGTTGCATTTCCGAATTCTCCCGAGTGGTACACGACTTTACACTAGTGAATAAAGTGAATGTGATTGGTCGATTATCGAGGGGGCGGTATTGTTTTGGTGGAAGGTTTGCAAACAAGTTTGATTATGGCTGGGTTGTCGAAAGCGGCTTGCTAAACAGTTTGGAAATTAGTGCTAGTAGGTTCCCAATGGGAAATTCCATTGGGACCAAGTAGCACTAAATTGGTGACTTAGAAACGACGCTGTCAAGGAACGCTATGGACAGCGGAAACATGCAAGAGGAGGAGAGTTTAGTGTCGGAGGTCGTGGATGAGTCTCCTCCGTCATCCATTTTTTATTTAGAGGAGGAAAGCGGGGACGAAGATGTTGTGGAAGAGGACGCCAGGGCGGCAGAAGCTTGGTTTGGTGTAGAAGGCTTCCAGCCGTACATGTTTGAGCCCTTGCCTCGCAACGCTGCCAGTTCTGTTAGCTCTACACCTGCCGAAGACACAGACGTCCATCCCCGTGAACACTGGGACGCAACTCAATGGGAAAGGAAAGGATTCTGATTTCTGATTTCAACCGTAAAACATGAAATTATAAATTTTAAAGAAAATATAGAAATAAAATCTGAGGAAGTTGCTTAGATGCTTTTATCATTAATAATCTTTTTGATTATTTATTCTGGTCTGTAATTCGGCTCCATACGTCCGTCCCTCATCATTGATCACTGCGTCGCCGCCTTTACCAAGGAAGCGGCGCTGCTGCCGCTGTTGATGCTACACTCCACCGCCGTCTGGTTGAGAGCCTTGGCTTTGAGGAAGGGGCGCTCCGGCTGGGTGCCTGCAGTCTGGTAGTGGGACAGCGCGGTGGGGCTGTCTCCTACGCTGGTGTGAGCCCACACAGACACCTCGTACACCGTCCCCGCTGTCAGGTTTGTGGCTGCGGACGACAGAAACACTCAGACTTCACAAACATTTATTAACTTCCCTGGTGAGGATGTGTGCCACTCTCCCTTTAAATTCCCAAAAAGTAAAGAACAATCCTCTGGACTTTGTTTCCAAGTTTGAAGACGTTTCTCTTCCATCCAGGAAGATTTTTCAATTCAAAATGTAAATAGCGTTTAGTTCCAGGTTTTATCCAGCAGTCCAACAAAGCCTGGTTTTAGTTTAGAAAACATGCAAATAGAAACGGATGAACGGGTCCCCCCCTTTGGAATGGGGGT